CGTTTATATACATGTTTAAGCCAGAATGATTTGACATTTAAATATGATTTCCCTACGACTTTAAAGGAGAATCTGGCTTGTTGTGGGAATAACTCAGGAATTGTGTGGCCTTGCAGGCTGAGTGAAAATTTTTATTGTGAGTAAATACCAGAAATCAATGCTGCTGAAGATTCTCAGTCATCCAGTTTAAAGTCATTCCAAAAAAAAATTAAAAAACAATCCACTGGACTTTGTTTCCAAATTTGAAGACGTTTCACTTCCGATCCAGGAAGCTTTTTCAATTCAAAATGTCAGGAATAGTGTTGAGATTGAGGTTTTATACAGTAGCCCAACAAAATTTAAATAGAAAAAGGGTCACAGTCTTTGTTCTGTTATGTTTTCTTTTGAGTATTCAGTTTAACTTTGCTCCATGTTTTCTAGTTTTATTGGTTTAATTCTCATTTTGTTGTGTTTTCTAGTTATATTTCAGTTCTTAGGTTTTTATTTGTTGCTCTCCTTTTCCCTAGCTCCTTTCTAGACTCCTCTCTTCACACCTGCTCCCAATCTGCTCCTTAGTCCTATCTTTGTTCAGTCTCCCATAAATACTCTCCTTGTGCAGTTCCTCAGTGCTGGTTCCTCGTTTAAGTCTGGCTTACTTTGTCTTACCTTGTCGTGATTGTTTTCCCCTGATGTCTCCATGGTTCTGGTTTGTTTAACTTTTCTCATGTTGGATTTTTGGATTCCTGCCTCAGTTGTTTGTGAACCACTCATTAAATCTACAGAACTCACCTCTGCCTCCCTGCCTCTGAATTTGGGTCCACAAACCTTAACCATCCATCCATTTTCTATCACGTTTACTCCCAAGTGGAGTCACAAGGGGTGCTGGTGTCTATCTCCAGCTGTCAATGGGCGAGAGGCGGGGTACACCCTGGACAGGTCGCCAGTCCATCGCACAAACCTCAACCAAACCCTGACAAAAAGCTTCCTGGATGGGAAGCGAAACGTCTTAAACTTGAAAAGAATGTACAGTGGATTGTTTTTGTTTTGTTGGAAAGCAGAAATCAATATATGAAATAAGAGAAATCTAAATTTTTTGACCACACTTCACAGAACTGCTGGACCAAATCCAATCCTTTGACATCAGGGTTTATGGATTTAACCAAACAAAAAGGATTATATTATATTTCCAGATTTAGTCTAATCTCTTAAATGTCCTTCCCTGTCTAGTAGGACCTGCAGACACATAGACCTGCTTTGTTTTGGAAAACAAAGGACCTCCTCCTCCTCCTGCATCCATCCCTGAAATGAAAAACACTCCACAGAAATGTAATGAAACTGTTTTTTTTTTCCCAGTTTGGGGGTAAAATAAAACAACAGGCCGTGTCATCCCCTGAGCTGAAGCTGATGGGTGAGGATGGGGGAGGGAGCTCCTTTACCTTGATGGTCTCCCCCTCGATCTCCACCGGCTTCTCCCTGAAGTCCACGCCGATCGTGGCCTCGGTCTTGTCGGGGAAGCTGCCCCCCGTGAAGCGGAAGGTGAGGCAGGTCTTCCCCACGTTGGAGTCCCCGATGACGATGATCTTAAAGATCCGCGTCTGGATGCTGGTTTCCAGGGAGGAAGAGCTCAGCTCCACGGAGGAGGTGAGGCTGCTGCTGCTGGCTCGGCTCCGGCCGGCCCGGTAGAAATCCATGGAGGAGGTCAGGATGGTGACATTGTCGTCCGCTCGGTTCCTCCTGGAGCCTCCTTTCCCCGCTCCTCCTCCTCCTCCGGAGCCCGGAGCTCGGCTCTCCTCCTCCGGGGAATCCTTGCTCATTATTGCCGGAGGAGGCGATGCAGAAGTGTAGGTGCGTGTAAAGAGGAGGGCGGATTGAGAGGAGGGAGAAGGGAGGAGGAGAGCAGGGATGCAACAATGCTGTCAGCATGTGATGAAGCCTTAAAGGGAGAAGAAGCAAACAAAACTATCAATTCAGCCTGAAGCGTCAATTTACATTAAAATCAAAACAATTTGGAGCCTTTTGAAATTGATCTGAATCGTTTTGTTCCTATTGAGGACTGATTACTTCTAGTTGAAAAAAAAAAGAAAGGGTTGAAAATGTATGCTACATACACATATTAATATATTTATACTGATTATTAATGGTTACACGTCATTTATTCCAGCAAGCATGAAAAGAACAATATGCATTTACTGTGAAGCATGGTGGTGGCAGTATCATGCTATGGCATGGTTTGCAGTGGATAGAATAATCAAGATGTTAGCAAGCAGGAACTGGACATTTGAATCTCAATTTATTGAATAACAAAGTAATTATCTAAAAAATAAACATTGGCCTTATAAAGCTCACAAACCCACAGAAAACACATAAATGATGCTTGTCAGGGTTGGTGAATACTGTTGTTCAACCAAGAGTTGAAGAGGCAGAGATGATTTCTTGCAGCTTTATTGATTTTGATAGTACAGAAGTAAATATTCCAGAAACAGTGAGCATTATTTGAGATATATGGATTTATTTCAGCCTGTAATACTGTAACCGTGTTGGAATAGTGGAGAATAAACAAGTAGTTCAAGATTGTGTAAAGAACCCTTTAAGTTACGGCTTCAGTCGTTTATGCCCAGGATGAATTCACTTCTCACAAAAACTTTACTTTTACTTCAGTGTAAATTTTTTCAATTGTCAATGTTTAAGTTCAAAGAATAGCTTAAATCATAATGAATCATATCAGCCATGATATGTCTGTGGCTTTGGTCTTCCTCGTGTCCTGAGGGGCCGGTCTGTGGGCTCCCACACCCACTATTGAACATTGTATGGAGAC